CAGTTATATATATATATACATACATATATATATATACACCATTATATTACATTATATTTTCATTGTCATTAATGTGTGGGCTATGAGTACTGTATCATCACCAGCATCACACCTCCATGGCTCCCAGTGGCACAGTGGCCAGCCAGCTAAAGGTGCTTCGACCTAGGATGACTCCATGCCCGGAAAATCAGACCTGGCTTGATTTCTATCCTATCCATATTGAAGTTGTTTAACTTAGATGGGTATGGATCAATACCTATACATACCATTTTTAGTGGGATGAACATCCATTTACCAGCTATTTTGATGTTCACCAGGGGTACAAGGTTTTGACACACTGCCAGATATTCATTCACAAAGTCTCAAAAACACTCCAGCACAAGTCTCTCAGACTACTGTACCATACTGTACCTCTGCCTCTCTCTCAGCTTCCTCGAGGGTACCCTCTGGTAATTTAACAGTTTGCTATGGAAAATCACCATGCTATTAATGGGAAATCAACATTTTTAATGGGCCATTTTCAATAGCTATGTAACAATTTACCAGAGGGTATATCCCATTCATAATCCATGAAATCACCATTAAATCCCATTAAACCACCATTTTGTTAATTTACCAGAGGAAATAGGTTGGATTCTCTCCCATTCTGCGAATCCGAGCCACTCTTGCTGCTTAGCTCCATGGGACAAACCTTGGAGACGTACAAAGCCCCGACTCCTGCGCGCTGCTCAAAAAAGCAGCGAGACCGCTCGAATGGATGGAACCTGTTTAAGCATGAGGATATAAATAACCAACCAAAATATGGGGATTTAATGATTTAATGGGGATTTAAATGGGGATTTAAATGGGGATTTAATGATTTAACCAACCAAAATATGGGGGATTTAATGATTTAATGTGATTTAAGGTGATTTAGAGTAATGGTAAACAAGCAGTTTGTTGTTTTTTGGGGAGCCCCTCGACCTGGCAGTCCACAGTGATGCTCAAGTTCCTTAACCCACCTGTCCTTCTGACAAATGCTCCAGAAACTTTTGCAAGTTCACCCCTCCTCACGACCACCCAGCCTCAGATGTTTGGCAAGCACCAAAACCAGGGAACCCCTCAAGGCTGACAAGAAAACTGATTCATGACTTTACGAAATGAATCACCTATGAACTGAAAACTCCCTCAGTCCCTCAACCATCTCAACCTAAAATCCAAGCCATTCCAAACCCATTTGCAACGCCCAAAACATCCCAAAACCCTGAGGATACCCTCTGGTAAACCAACATAACTATGGAAAATCACCATTTTTAATAGGTAAATCAACTATAAATGGGCCATTTTCAATAGCTTTTTGTTAGTTTACCAGAGGGTAAGGGAAGGATGTTCCACTGATTTCCCTCAAAAATGGTGGAATTTTGGCCCCGTTGACCCCGTTGGCGATGCCTGGCAGAAAGGGCGGCCCTTGGATCCTTTGAATCCGGCCGTGCCACCAGGGGAAGGCCATAGAAGCAGAAGAGATCAATGCCTGGTCCCCAATGGGATCCCAATGTCACTGGATTCGTTTGTTGGGGAAAATCTTAACCGGAAACCCATGGGTTTTTACTAAGTTTTTACCATCAAATAATTATAGGGCTTTCCGGTTAAAATTTTCCCATCATCCAATTCTATGACAATGGATTCCAAGATATTCCCAAGGATTTGGCGCTGACTTGCGTTTTTTCAACTAAAGGTTGAATAACTACATGCTTTAGTGATGCTTTAACATGTTTCAATTTGTCTAAAACGTTCTGAAATAACTTGGAATACCCTCTGGTAATTTAACATAGCTATTGAAAATGACCATTTATAGTGCATTTTCCCACTAAAAATGGTGGTTTTCCATAGCTATGTTAGTTTACCAGGGGGTAACTGTTAAAATGTGTCAACTTTCCGGGTTGATTCAACTTCATCTCACTGATCCCACAGATCCTGCTGATTGGGCCAGCTGCCTTCCCATCCCGGGCCCCGTGATCTTTGTCAAACTCCCCCAAGTTGTCCCCTAGATCAAATATGGGGATAGGTCAAAACCTTTTACCCCTGGTGAACATCAAAATAGCTGGTAAATGGATGTTCATCCCCCTAAAAATGGTATTAATAGGTATTGACCCATACCCAATATGAATAAATATGAATCAATACAAAACTATTGGAAAATGCCGCATAATGCCGCATGTATAAATGGGACCTGCATAGCTGGGAAAATCATTTACGGAGGATGTTCCATGGCCAAAAAATGATTGTGGGCATCTCTTTTTATCAAATCCACCATTTTCAGAGACACCCATATCACACAGATATGGTTACATCTGATCAAATAGTATATTCCATATGAATCCATATTTCATATTCCAGTAATTTCCAGTAATATTTCCCAAGTATATACCATATTAATCATACCATATGATATCCCCGTCAAATGATACTCATCCCATTTCCTGAAAATTTTCAACATCCCCTAAACCGTCCCATTTCGATGTCTAAGTCCCCCCCAATTCGATCACTGGGACGGCCGGGATCCCCCCGCCGGCGCGCACCTTGCAGCTTGACGAAGCGTTGAAACTGAAAGGCCGACACCGACAGTCGCGCAGTTGCTGCCTGGAAAAGGCGCGGCCATGACGAAGGGGGGAGAACGCTGTCCTCAGTCTTTGGTTTGTCTTGTACCAGTGGCTGTGATTTGCTTGGATCCTGTCAAACAGGTAAGGGGGAGAATAATGACCGATAACAATAATTAACTGGTTTTATTATATGATTTCATAGGAAAATAATGAGATAATTATGGGATATCTAATGGGATATACCCTCTGGTAATCAAACGTGGCTAGCTGGGAAATCCCCGAACTAAATGGAAGTTTCTAGCTGTGAAAATCATCGAACTACAGTAGATGAATTCCAGCAAGCCACGTTTGCTCCCAACACCCCACGTTTGGTGGGAATCATTGGCTGTACAATCACGCAAAATCACCAAGTTTATCTGATTTTCCTCCCTTATTATTGTCATCATTTGCCTAAAACAGGTTGGAGATACTTTGGGGAACCAACAATACAATGGTTTTGACTGAAACTTGGGCACCCGCAATTCCACTGGTGAAGCATCATTTTCCCAGAAAATGGATAGAAATGGGAGATATATTCCCCATCCAAATGAATAGAAATTGGGAAATGTCCAGTGCCGCTTCAGATTCAGGGTAAATGTTCATAGTCGAAGCATTTGAAAATGGATGAAACCAATTAAAACATATTAAACCAATCATTCGCATCTAAATGTATCTGTTATCTACTTGCAAAATCTAACAAATGGAATAGAAATGGAATAGAAAGGTTGTACGGTTGTACCCACAAATCCTCACGCATGGCTCTGAAACTGATTTGCCCGTGACACGTCTTGCCATCCCCTTTGGCTCCTCATACTGCCCTGGCACCAGAAGGACGACTGGCACGCCTCGGTTGCAGCAACGATCCCCAAGTAATTGGCACGTCCATCTGGGATTCCCGGCAGCTGCAAGACACCGCCTTTGAAGGATTGGAGTCCTGGCGCCCAATTTTTTTTTTCAAAGTCTCAGACCTAACAACTGCCCGAAAATCCGAAAATCGGTCAACATCTGCGATATCAATGTGGTTTTCTTTTAATTCTGACCATTTCTGATCAAACCCAGCCAGGGAAGACCATCTGAAAGTTCTCCATCTTCCACGCCACCGCGGGTTCCAGGCGCATCGGCCTAGTCTCTCTGAGTCAGAAACCTCTACAAACTGAAGAGTTCAATCGCAAAAAAATCTAGAAATCACGCGTCCATGTGTGGCTTTGGGGAGTCTACTATATATCAACATTTATGTTTATAAAAAAAAAAAAACTATATATATATATATCTATATCTATATATATATATATCTATATATATATCTATATATATATAGATATATACGTCTCCAGCGTTCCAACCCCCCCGGCCATCGTCATGGGTCAGCCATAGTGCTGTCCCCCTCCCCCTGTGGTGTGGCGGGGGCGTGTGGTGCAGGGTGTGTGGTGCGGGGGTAGTGTAGTGGATGTATGACAATATATATGGCATGGTGGGTATGGTATGTAATCCGGCGACCCCAGGCGACAGCAAGGGGAGCGCGTGCCAGGAGCAGCAAAATTTCTTTGCAAGCTTTTGGTGGGCAGCATCCCGGTCCTCCGGCGCCTTTTTTGGTAGGCTGCATCCCGGTCCTCCGGCGCCTTTTGCAGCTTGCTGGCCGCCCTGCGCCGTACTTTGGCCATCGGGTTCAGAAAGCAACGTTAGGCAGTAGCCTGCCTTTAATTGTGTCCCGGCGCCCTTTGCAGCCTTTTGGTAGGCAGCATCCCGGTCCTGCGCCTTTTGCCGCTGGCCGGCCGCCCAGCGCCGTACTTTGACCATCTGCCTGGCACCTTCAAAGAAGTTTTCTCTTGGGTTCAGAAAGCCACGTTAGGCAGTAGCCTGCCTTTAAACGTGTCCTGGCGCCCTTTGCAGCTTTTTGGTAGGAACACGGAACACGAGACCATATATATATATATATTTATTTATGTATTTATTTATTGATTTATTTATTTATTCATTTATATATATATATTGTATATATATATATTGTATATATATATATATGTATAATTATAAATATTATATATATATAGTATTATATATGTATATTTCAATATATTTCAAACATCCCAAATCATCTGGTCCCTTGCGGTCCGCCACACCACGGCCCTCCAAATTTGACCTGATTCGTTTGGTTGATAGCAGCTTCAACCCCACTTTGGACCAATTTTCAAAAGCCGTTGAGGGGGAAAAAAAAACATGAAAAGGACAATTGATGCTAACATGGTTGACATTTCCATGAGTTTCCCCCACATTCCCAGCATTTCCCAGCTATGTTTGAAAAAGATCAGCCGTGATCAGACAAGGAACAGCTCAAGATCAATGGAGATCTGTACGGCAAGCCGCTGGCGCAAGAACCGACGCCTGAGAGGTGGAGTTGATAAACCAGTGGTACATAGTGGTATCAGATTCCCATAACAATCATAACTGGTTGGTGGTTGAGCCACCCCTCTGAAAAATATGAGTTCGTCAGTTGGGATTATTCTTCCCAACTGAATGGAAAAATAAAAATGTGCCAAGCCACCAACCAGATAAAATGAGCCTTGTTGGAAGTAGATGGTGTCTCAATGTTTCTCAAATGCTTGATGAATGATGAAAAGATCTGGGGGTGGGTCAAAACCTATTATTATCAATTCTAATGGGATGAACATCCATTTACCAGCTATTTTGGGGTTCACCAGGGGTACAAGGTTTTGACACACTGCCATCTGAAAAGATCTTGGTAAAAACCTCTGGATTGGCTCACATGGGAATGATGTGGAATGATTAATGATGGACTTGCTGGAAAAACAAACCTAGGCGCTTGTGATGTCCAAACTGGATCAACGCGGCACAACGGGGTCCCCCAACACTGCGGATTTCGTGCTGGCCACTGACACCACCTGCCAGCCAGCAAAAAAGATTTCGATCATCAAATGACACACGGCCTTTTCAACCAGCTACTGTACAAAAAGTTGTAACATGTTGTAACCTTGAAAGCTACAGCAAATTGCCTCAAAAACGGCCTTGAAGGAGTTTGGGTTTACGCTTGTTTTTATGGCCATCTCTGGTCTTCCCCCGAAGATCAACTCCCATGTGTTCCCTTGAACCAATTGATAAAAACCTCCCGCCGCCTTCACCCCCTGGACTTGCAGAAGCTCACTCCTGGTCATTGAGTGCCCCAAGACCCCAAGACTTGGATGCCTTGATGATTCACTTGATTAGCCAAAACCGTGCATTCAACATGATTTATGATGATTTATGTGCATGTATTTAATTCCATTAACAAACTATGAAGTTCAATTCCAAAACTGAAGACTCCTGAAGAGGAACGATAAAGAAAGTTCTGATCCAGAGTCTTAACTGCCAAGTTGGCGCATTCTCTTTGTGCTGTTGGTGCCAGTACACAGTCGTTTCCTGAAACCTGGAACTGGAAGTCCCCCTTCTGGTTTCCTACTCCCATGGCGCAATTCAAAATCTTGAGGTGTACTGTACCTCCTACATCCTCCTACCAACCCTCTGGTAATCAAACTTGACGATGGAAAATCAGCCATTTTCACACATCTTCTTACGTCATTTGTCGGTGATTGCCCCATTCAAGCTCAGTGTTTCGCGTCTGGATACCCCATCTGCCTGGGCTCCGCCAATTTCACCACGGTGATGTCGATGCCGGCAGCGATCAACTTCTGGGTCGAGGCAGATGTTGCCAAAGAACTCCTTGGGGAGAAAAATCATTGAGGACCATAGTCGGGTGAGGGTCTTGGTTCCATCCGTTCTCCATGATTGAACACTTCGAGCACTCTAGTTCCAGGGCAAATGTCTCGTTCAATGAGAGGAATGGGAATTTTGCTCATAGTGGATTGTAGTGATGCCTATACAACAATAGCTGGTACAACTCTTATAATCTATCAACACGCGTCTACTAGTTGTCTACTTGCGAGTTGCACACTTTGTGGATTCAACACCTCAGGAGCAAACAGGATCTGATTGGCGCGGAAGGTCCACACCTCCAAAGAATTGTCTGCAGCTTGGTATTTCAGTACAATCTGCTGTGCTTTTGACGTGTAACATCTGCCATGCCTGGGCGATCACTTAGAAACTGAAGGGTAGCCAGGATATGCAGGATGAAGATCCCAAATTAACATTTCCCCAAGTCGGGAGATCCCCAGAATTGGAAGATCTGCAGGGAAACAACTCTAGTTGACAGAGAAACCATGCCTGATCATGCCTGTGTGTTGCTTCCCCTAGCAATCCAAGCGAAGAGATCCCGTTTGGGTATTGAAGAAAAGTATAGAGTTCAGTGTACCAGTATGTTACGACCATTTAGGACCCAGTATATCCCATCAAGACATCCCGAAGGGATCAACTTGGCTAATTCGAGATTCACTGTATTCACTGCCAAAAAAGGGCGCAAAAAGGTGTAAGTTAAAGGTGGTCATTCAGAATAGTAGGTCAATGGGTTTCAATAGGTTTCAGCAGCCATCCATGAGCCACCAACATTTCCCAAAGTTAATTTTACTTTCAGCTACCATTCAAAAAGCTTATCCGCAGGATCGCAGTGTCCCCTGCACCAACAATCACCCCACAGGATGCCTGCACCGCGAGGCCTTCTGAATCTGGCAACGATTGTTTTTGTGACCGGGGAGAAGAGTCATGTATGGTGAAGACATGCATGTTACAATTGATGATCAATGATACATGGATGAACATGTTCATGAAATGTTCATGAACAAATTATGGTGAAGACATGGATGAACATGGATGGACATGGATGGACATGGATGGACATGGATGGACATGTTCATGGAAAAATTGGCTTCAACAACTGCGCAGGCCGAAAAAAGCCTCCTTTGACGCCCAGTCCGAGCACATCCAGGGCCAGGTCCAAAGCGTTTTCGCAGGCCTCGGGGGTCGAGACGGCGCATGATGTACCCATTCATAACTTGTCGAATGCAGAAGTGGAAACGGATTCGAAGTTGAGCAAACCTTAAGTGTTTCAACGTGGAAATGCCAATCCCAGCGGTTGCGTATTGTAGTGACGTAGTTGCCATGGCCTGATTTCCAGATGGTATTGTATTTAACATAGCCATGGAAAATCACCATTTTTAATAGGTAAACCATCTATTTCAATGGGCCAGCTATACCATGGCTATGTTAGTCATAACCAGAGGGTATCAGATCTTTTTTTTTTGTTTCCTCTATTGATCTATTGCTGCCCTCTATTGCTGCCCCAAAAAATTGTCCCTGGCCGCCACAGCCTTCTGCCCCTCCTTGCTCAAATCGCAGTCCTGGATCCAACTGACCTGAACCAGTGAGTTTCAGCATCCACATCCAACTGAAACCTGACTTGGGTATGTCTGAAAATGGGGTATACCCCCAATTATAGCCATTTAGTAGGGATAATGATCATTAACCATTGGGTGTAGGGGTACACTATTTTCAGACAAACCCACTTAAACATGCTCAAACCAACCAATTGAGATGGGAGTTTAGCACTTATATATAAGCATATATAAGCGACAGATATGATATGACCAACCAAAAGGTCATCACAACTGAGTGAACTAGGTAGAAAGGAATCGAATTGAAGGTCCACTAAGCCACAGATTTGTACTTGTTCTGTATGTGTTTGGGGAAACAAGTTTATAGCATCGCGGCATATTTCTTGGACGATAATCCACCAACCACTATGGGAACCACTGGAATATATATATATATCAGATTATATCAGAATATCCTGGATCCCTACCCTTCACATGACTGGATGATCCACAAATGACCATAGTTCAGGCGGTCGCAGACACAACTCATGACACCGGTGCCTGCAAATTGTCCAGATCGGAATGCACCTGCTGCTGAACCACGAAGCCGGATGGGTCAGGAGCAACACAAATCTCCCGAAGGACGCAAGCGAAAAGATGAGAAGAAAAGCTGCAGCCAAGTCTCATCTCTCCCCGTCTCTCCACCCAAATAGCTACCATACTTGTGAAACTGGCTGACACTGAGAGAAAAAATAGGAAAAACTGAACAGCATTGAAAATCCACATCGACCATACAGGTGTCACCCCAAGAGCCGGGGCACAGCGCTTCTGACGTGCTTGCCAAATGGAATGCTCTGCTCCAGTCCTGATCCGTTGCATCAGTCACTGGGTGGAGAGCTCACCTAATTCTAGTGATTCCAGCAGTCCTTCACTTACTTTGATTGGCACCTACTAAGCTATCACTATTTCAGGGGTTTCATCAAAGTTCTTCACGCCAACATCCCATTATTTACCATCATCTTCCCGTATGTTCTCCAAATGTTCCCATATTTTTCGATATGTTCCCATGTTTTTCCATGTGCTTCCCATATTTTCCCCATGAAACTCACCACTTCTCCCATCTTTTCCCATCATTCCTCGACTTCTGTCCTCCGCGGCGCAGGAAGCAGAGGCCGAAACGCTCCAGGTCCTTGCCAGCCCCATACCTTAGTGCTTTGGACCCATCCAGGGAGTCAAACAGGGCTTAAGCCCCATAAAAGCACAGATTTTAGTACAGCAACATGGTTTTTTTATGTACTAAAATGTACTAACCATCTGATCTAATTTTTAGGTACCCATAGGTACCCAAAACTTGACTAGGCTTTTTTATGACCTACAAAACCACCATGGATGATATTCCAAGATGAACAAAAAAAGATGGATCTCAGGGTCCCAGGCGATGCAAGTTCATGTGCTGATTGGGCCCAGTGGTGAACCACCTGGAAAGTTGTCACGTCAAAAATGAGTTAGTTTCCTCTTGAACAATACCTCTGAAACTGGGGGTTCTACGTGTCTCAAATTTAAGGGGTGTATCATAAAGATCAAAACCAAACGTTGAGGTCCCAAAGAATGGGGAATATGGTATGAAAAGGGGTGTTCCCTGTGACTTCCTTTAAGGCTTGTCCACTCATGGGCTATACTCCGAAATTGCTACTGATGGTCATCTGAGCAGTGTTCAAAACCCTTCTATCATTCCATTGTACTGGTTGGTTCAAAAAGGGATTCCCCGTTCTTGGATTATTGTAATCCCCAATATATTGGCTAGTATAATCCCCTATAATCGTCAACCAACGTTTGGGTTTAGCAGCCACTGCTCATCTGATGTCATCTTCATCAACATTGGCCTCATGCAGGACCCGCGTAGCAAAGGGTCGACCTTCCGTCCTCAAGTCGCAGTGGATCAATGTCCCAAGAAAATGGTGAAATTCCATGGTTTTCCGGTGAGGATTTTCCCAAGAAAACCAATCCATTGAAACATCCTCTGATTGAAAAATATCATGGATAGCATAGCCAGCATAGCTCATCCCTGCTTTGTTCTCTTGAATGACTTTGCATGTGGCCTTGTTTTGCAAGTGAATTTATGGACCTCTCCTGAAGACGAGACCGCTATGCCAAAATCAAATCATCATCGCCAAGCTCGCGGCAGGCAGTCAAAGATTGTGTACAGGCCCGACATGTGATGACAGGCGTTTCGGGCTGTGCCGCACAGGTTTTCACACGGCAGATCAATGAAAAATAATTGAATAAAGCTCTGTCCCACAAAGATCGTTTCAAAGTCTTCATATACATTTTGCTGTACTCAATTTGGTTTCGGTTGGTCCATATATGTAGGATACCCCACTCTACAGGTGTATTCGCAAAGAAATTCTCAACGAGGGTGCCCTATTTTCAGACCAACCCTTCACAGGCCAGACTTTCCTGACTCGAGCCTGGATGAGTCGAGTTTTTGTCTTGGCAAAATGTCAAGGTCGGAGGCCCCAAAAGGTCGGAAGTATCAGGCAGATTGATGTAATGTGGTAAAGCCGAAAACTTAAATCATCCCCAAGCTTGCCAGAAATGACATGCATGACCTGCATGATGAACCAAAATCTTCCCTCGTATCCTAAGATTGACAACAAATTCTGCAGGTCATGGCATTGTGTACTTTATTTCATGACCTTTTGTGGGACAATTCAAAGAGCAAAATGTATAAAACTCCAGTCCATGTTCCAACATCAGTCTTACGGAAATGCCATCCCCAGAGCCTTCTGCAGGTCGTCACCTCAAAGACCGGTCGTATGATGGCCACATCCAAGTTCAAAGAAGGAGTGGTCTTCCTTGGCCCTTGCCATCAATATCCATCATTTTTTCTTGATGACACCGCCAGCACCAAACATTCTTTAGCAAGTCAGCGCCACAGTTCCCTATGCCTCATCCAGCAGAACATAGCAGAACTGCCAAGACGTGCAGAGGCCGAGGCCATGTGCGACCAGAAAAAAATACCGCTTTTGATAGATTTGGTGAGACCCTCTTCATGATGGCGGATGACTAAACCAACAACAAATCAAAAAGCATAGTATTATATAGTATGTAAAATCGGACTAGTAATATCTACTAAGCATCAATTTTGGAGATATGATGCAGGTCAAAGAGTGGTCAACGTCAAATAACTCAAGTTCCAGCCCCCTCGTCTCTAGGCCGCCCGTCTCTGTAGAGGCGTGAGCTCTTGCTTTCCTACGAAACGCGCGACTGTGATGTCGCAGAAATGGGACATGACATTCATTTGCCTATCCTTTTTGATATGCGTTGCCCGTGCAGGACTTGGACCTGAAATCATCTGCCTAAACGAGTGATTTTAGAGTCACATGTGATGGATGAGGCCACACAGAGCCTTGTGGTGAAGGCGCCATAAGCCTGTCTTGGGGGCCTGAGGAAACCACGCGGGCGTGTGATTCCAACAATCATAACGAAGCACTCGCAGCATCAAATGAAACACAAACTCTGAATACTCTGAATGCATCTATTTACATCTCATCTATCGATTGGTCCATAAAATGATGTGTGGATTCTTCCATATCATCCATGTCATCCATCGGTTTTCCCATCCATGTTCCATCATTTTCCTGTAATCTGTTTTTTTCCAATTAAAAACTGTGAAACCGCATGGTGAAATTGGCACCTCTTCAGAGTCGTCTCCAGTAGATGCTCCAACCTTTGACGGGCAAGCCCCAGCTGCGGCATTGTGAATCGGTGACACCATACAACATCATAAAACAAGTTCTGCAGTCAACAACGATCCTGATAGTCAATTAAGACTAGGTGAATGATTCAATGGCCAAAATAAACCATTTATAATAATTAAAATTAATGTTTCATCATTGATGTATTATACCTGTTTGTTCGTTTGGTGGTTGCTTAGCAATTGTTGGTCTCTTAAATCAGCCATTAACCACATATTTTTTTTGGTTACGGTGGTTCGGAATCAGACGCCAAAATGAAATGGTTTGTAATTCTCTGTTCACCTTGAGGAATTTCCTGCCTGGTTTCGAAATCCCACAAAGACAGGCTCGTCGATTGAGGGTCAACCCAAAAAGTTGAATGAAATGACAATAATTTAAGCGATTGGCAAAAATCATCAAAAATCTAATTAAAACAAAAACATATTTAAAAAAACATTTAAACAAAAACAGAATCATTTCGACATCAGTTTTAGGCTCAATTAACTCCTTGGTTCTGAAGACTGTTTGACTTCCAACTTCCAAGGTCAGCCTAGCACTGGGCGCTGAGACATGGAATCTCATGCCTGGCGAAAACAGCGAAGGCGTGACTGAATTCCTTGTCTTTCGGCATGTTCCGAACTGGATTCCTTCAGTGTGAATTCAACTTGCGAATTGGATCATGACCACATGACCTCTAGCTATCTATAATCTCTATATGATCCTATAGGTTCCTATAGGTTCCTATAGGTATCCGTATCTAAAGGTGTGGATATCCGGTACGGAACTGGGTGAACTAAGCCTGATTCGTGATGACATGTGAGCCACTTCCGGCGTCCAAATTGGAGGAGCCAAGTGGTAACACCCAGTTTGTGATAGCACGTCCAGTACCAACTGGGATGAATTCACCTACTCGAAATGAATCAGATCTTCCAATTGTTGAATCTATGTATATATTATATTATATTATATTATATTATATTGTATTATATTATATTATATTATATTAAAATATACTATTTTATTTTATATTGTATATTATATTATATATTATATATTATATATTCTATATTCTATATTCTATATTCTATATTCTATATTATATATAATATAGTATATATTATATATAATATATAATATATTATATATTATATATTATATATTATATATTATATATTATATTATATTATATTTTATTTTATTATATATTATCTATTATATTATATTATATACTATATATTAAATTATATATTATATTAAATTATATTATATTATATTTCATTTTATTATATTTTCTATTATATATTATATATTATGTATTATGTATTATATATATTATATATTATATACTATGTTATATATTATATTATATGTTATATTATATTATATTATATATTATATTATAAATTATATTATATTATATTATATTATCATATATATTACTAAATATTATATATTATTAAGCATTTTATTATATAAGATATATGTATTAAATGAACACGGGGGTGCAATCAACGTGATTATTCCACGATGGGTGATAGGCCAAAGGTCGCTGATAAAGCTGATAAAAATTGATAAAGGGTGTTTCACAAAAGAGGATGTAGTCATGGATCATGCAAAGTCCTCAGCCCCAAAACCCATCCACAGACCACACCTCCATCACTGCTCCTGAAAATGATGGGAGATGTTCATCCCAAAAGTGCCATTTCATTGGTGAAGATGATAAAACTCAGTGGACTTTTGGAGTTCCCAACACTTTGTATCAGTTCATCATATTTTATCATTCCCAACCCAAAACTTACTGTGAATTTCGTGCGTTCGTGCCCTCATCGATCATCGCTTAGGGATAGAGATCCCACACCCATTTCACCATCAGTCCTTCGTCGGGACCGTGTGGCTTCGCTTGCCCTGCGAAGCAAAATAATGCAAACTGAGGGTTATGTGGATTCCATAAGCCTTCAAACTGGAAATGAGATGACATGAGTGCAGAATGTATCAGAATGTGGATCAAATCAACTCCATGGAAGTTTCGCCCTATCAATTATTCACCTTTAAATCAGGCCGGTCTCACACGCCGTCCATGACGTCTTTCTGGTCGTTCCTGGCGTATGTCTGAGACCCAACAAATGTCACCTATACATGATACATATGTGTGTGTGTACCATCTGTATGGATGTAAAACTTCATTATGCTGCAGGGGCGTGTGGCACTCACGTCCTACCACACGCAATGAAGCTGTGGACATGAGTGGGCAGGGAAACGTGGCCGGTTTCCTGTACCTGCTTTATATATATATAATTATATAAATACGTTAAATATATTCCACCGTGCCTGGGGGACATATATTGTATTGCTGTTGGTTTATACAGTATGGTCAACGTCCACTGTGATTTTACGTCTATATATATATATATATATGTATACTGTATGTTAATCTTGTCTTTTTATTGTTGGTGTTTTTGCACGTCAGATGCATTCCACAAACCGGATTCGTAACGACAGTTCTGAGCAAGTGTGTGACTCATGCTGGATTCGTCATGGTGGCATGAACCCTTCGGGGAATACCTTTCCAGGTAGGAAACTTGAGCCTCCGACCTGATCTCTGAATTTACATTTTTCAACCTAGTACTTCGTTTAAGTAAAGTGAAACAGCTGGCCATCTTTCGATTTTCACCTTGTCGGTCGGGTGTGTGTGTGTTGAACAGTTGGCCGCCGTGCCGGGCCTCACCTTTTTTCTCCGAATTTACAGTTTTAATCTAGTAATTCGTTTAAGTAAAGTGAAACAGATGGCCTTTTTTCAGCTTTTCACCTATCGGTCGAGTGTTGAAACAACGTGCCGCTGTTCTGGGCTTCACCTTTTCTGTTTTTGACATTCAGGTATTAGGACATGTCTTTCAGGTGTGGTCTCTTTCTTTTTGGTTGCTCTGGTGAGGTTCAATTGTGCACGTAATATCACGTAATTCATTCTGACCACTACAGCCGTCGATAGGGTTGACTTGATTTTGTGGCCATTGAGCCCGATTAGGGGACTTTGCACGTTAATGTGGATGCATCTTTTCATTAACTTGTCCCCCATGGGTCCCCTATCTCATGTGTCTTCCTCTCTACAGGTAGGTTGGGTCCTGCGCTTAGGTTTCGCTGTGGTAGGTTGGTTCAGGCGCTTCCGTCTTCCCCCTCCTCCGCTGGTCTGGTTCCGTTTCCATCGGCCTCCTGTTGGTGTTTGCTCTTCCCTCTTCTTTTGTGTTCCCCTCTTCGCGTCCTGGTTAAGTAATTTGCATCTCATGTTCATTGTCATCTCACTTTCATTGTCATTTCATCACATCTGCCCCGCTGTTGCGGGGCGTGTGTGTGTGTGTGTGCGCGTGCGTACCATCTGTATAGATGTAAAACTTCATTATGCCGCAGGTGCGTCTGGCACTCATGTCCTACCACGCGCAATGAAGCTGTGGACATGAGTGGGAAGGGAAACGTGGCCGGTTTCCTGTACCTGCTTTATATATGTATATATATATAGAGTCCCGCCCCTGGGCGCATATAAGTCGCAGCTGGGGGGGCATATATTTTATTGCTGTTGGTTTATATCGTCAACGTCCACTGTGATTATACATAATATATATATAATATATATATATGTATATATAATATGTATATTCATCTTGTCTTTTTATTGTTTGTGTTTTTGCACGTCAGATGCATTCCACAAACCGAATTCGTAACGACAGTTCTGAGCAAGTGCGTGTGTGTGATTTTATTCACTCCCTTTCTTTCCATGGATCGTCTCCCCATCATTCTAGCCCCAGTTTTTTGGGGGCTATATCTCGCTGAATCATCTTCCAATCAATCAATTAAATTGAAATCGGTTTTAAAAAAAGTTTGGTGTGGTTTCCCCTTACCAACATTTACTTTAATCATGTAACATCAGGATTATCGCTCAGCGACTCAGCGCGGTATCTCCCATGTCCCATGTCGCAGCATCATGTCCCAGCGGCCCAAAGGAGGGAAATCCAGCCGGCAACGCATCTGCTTCATGAAGGCCTCTTTGAGCCTTGCAAAATTGGCGCTTTCCAGAAGACTGACCCGGAGGATCCCGGAGGTTGAATCAGGGGACCCCAAAATCATCCCAAAAATATCCTTATTTTTCGTCATGTTTGATGGAGAACCAATCGTTTTGGGATCCTTCATGTTTAGAAAACCACCAGGCGTTCATGAGATATGTTGAAGATGCTGGAAACGTGGACGATTGCAAACACGCTGAGATCCTGACTTGCTTTTCAGGCTCTTTTTTTCTATCTTTTCTGGCTCCTTGCTTTGCCTCACTTCACCAAAACGCACCAAAACGCGAGGTCTTCCAAATGAAATTGGACCGAGCAACCCTGCCAAACCTGCCCATTTACCCTTTTTTTGGGTCTGAAGGGACATGATATGACATGTTCATGACATGTTCATGACATGTTCATACATGTTCTATGTTTGCCTTACTCCCCCCTTGCCCATGTGACCGCATGAGACGAGCGGCTGTGCGGAGGCGGACTTTCTTGGGGCACCTGAAGAAAGCCGCAGTAGCTTTGACGTTGGCCTTTTGGGGGGTCCAGAAAAAAGGGGCTGCAAGATATGCAGTATGAAGAACTATTACGCAACTATTCAACTTTGGGATGCAGTATGAAGAACGAACACGACAACCAACAAGAGCGGAACATCACCGACAGTCCAACGATGATACGAGGATAGGAGATATCAGGATATATTAGGTATGTTCAGCCCAGGGTCACTTCCAGAAGCTGGGTTCAACCGGACAGAGGTTTCACCAATGTGAAGGGAATCTTATGTACAGGTTGATCCACACATGTGCTGCTGAGCGAACAAAAGGTGCAGGATCATGATAAGCTACCGTTCTCCCACACATTTCGACTGGATTCCCTTATCAAAAGGCGCCATTCCCCTCATAGCTATACTTGTGACCAAGGGAAACCTGACTTGCAAGTGTCTTCAGCGGTCTGATGGAGCTACACCCAGTGGACAGAGATTGTTCCAAGTGTGCTACATGGGAGAATCCTCGCATTGGGATGGGTGAAAAGTTTGCAATTGCAATTTTGGTGGTAAGGGGTAAACCTGCCATTCCTAGATTCCTGGGCACCCCAATATCCCCAAATTCCTTACCAAAATCATCTAAAATCGTCTAATAATCATCTCAACCCCCTGTATTTTCGTGGATATTGCTGATGAATTGCCACATCAACCCCCCAAAGATCAGGGCTCTGAAAATGAGATCCCCATCCCCTAAAAACCCTATGAATCCTCATTTTCCCTTCGTTCTGCCTTTTTCAAAGGAACCGTTCAATCCCCCAATTTCACCGGTACCAGCCCACCCAGACCCACTGTCGACCTGCAGCACTTCTGGCCCGGACGGGCGCGACCTTGGAGGCCTTGGAAGGAAAGCTGTCCAAAGCGAAGTAGTTTTCATCCTCCGGTTCCTCGGCCGAGGTGATGCTGGGCATTTGACTCGTTGGCGGTGGTGAATTAACCAATGGATGGTGGTTTTTGTTGGTGGGGCTTAATAGTGGTGAATTTAAGAGTGGTGAATGTAGGCACTGAAAAAAGTGGTGAATTTGATGTTTATGGTGGTTATTATACTTTTATGGTCAGAGTGGTTGTATAAGTCAAGTAGATGTTAATAGATTTTAGTAGTAGTTGAGAATGGTGAATATGGGGGTACCTAAACACTATGCCGCCAAACCTTCCCAACAGGTTTACTATTCGATAGTGGAGCAACCAATGGAAAAGTAAAAATCATTGACTCCACAAATCTATGGATGGGTGCTGGATGTGACTGGGGAAGACGTAAGGATTACGGGATTTTCCAGCCTGGAAAAGTGGTGACATGTTGGAATAAAGAACGAAGATAGGATACGATAGGATATTTCTCGGTAAAAAAATATAGGGAGTCAGCCTGGGAAAATGCGGAAACCTGAGATATTCGCTGCATTAGCTGAGCAAAATATGCGGAAACCGGGAACTTTAATTAATCATCAGGGAGGATTGCTGTCATCCTCGCCCTGTCCTAAACCGGCAACATCCGCTTAGAGCATTCCTCATGTGTGTTGGTTCCCATTAATTCGGCTATGAGTTATAGTACATCCCAACTTTTATTCTTTGAACATGGTTGAACCATCTTTTTATCCATTGATTCTGCCTTTTGGGAATAAAACGTGGCAATGGAAAAATTTCGCGAACTAAATGGAGGTTGATAGCTGGGAAATTTATGGAATTTTATCGATTTTCATGACTTTCCATTGCTATGTCTGATTGCCAGAGGGTAAATCCCATTGAATCATTGAAGCATAAATATATCAAATATTAATATAAGTATAATTCCGTTGTTTCCCCATTCGAATTCCATCATTTCCCCTATGATCTACGGAAGTTTGACGGGGGAAACCGATGGAAAAAAGAAACTGATTTCACCATGGAAAAATCCCACCTCTCCTGACCACTGAGGTGCCCAAACACAGAGCCCTCCTACTTGGCGCCTGAAAGACAGGCACCAACCTGAGGTCCTCCAAAAATGACCCAAATTGCCAGTTTCAGAGTTTAAATGATGTTTAAATACCCGCTGGTAAACTAACATAGCTATTGAAAATGGCCATTTATAGTGGATTTACCCATCAAAAATGATGATTTTCCATAGCTATGTTAGTTTACCAGAGGGTATGTTTAAATGATGATTTTCCATGATGATCATCCATGATCATCCAATGGATCCAATGGGGGTCACACTATTTTCAGAAGCCACAATGGGATGCCATTTTGCCTGAGAGTTGCCTGAGAGACTGAAGAAAAGATGGTCTAAAAGGATCTAAAAGGATCTAAAAGCTGGTACTGATCATCTTTGTCTCATCTTTCTTCCAGTAGATGTGGTTCATAGATGTTCATAGTCATGTTGCGTTCCCAAGCCCCCAAATTATCCAAATTCCCGGAAGGCTCCTATCACTGGGGCACCAGATGCAATCCAAGGCGCTCAAAAAGACGCGGTTGGGGATTCTGAGGACGGCAGCTGGCTGGGTGGGGCATGTCATCTCAGATGTGAAATCTGGCACCCTGCAGTTGCGATGAAAGAAAGCACTGGCGTATGTTGTTGTACTTTCCGGTTCCAATGAAGGATGCTACTCTGCTTGGAATCTGCTGGAGGTGGAATTTCAAAACGAAAAAACCAGGTTCCCATTCCTTGAAGGATGGAAGGCTCGAAAAAGATGACGTTTTTTTCACATGCTTTCTGGTGGCAAAGGTACAGTATTACCATCCCAAAAAAGCTTGGGAACCACTGGCATTCTGAGCTCCCCAGCCCCTGCCACCCATGGTCGATCCAGTCGAAAACGATGCTCTTGTACCTGTTGCTGCACCTGGCACGGGGGCTTGATCCGCATTTGGAAATGTCGGAACCCATCCTTCAAGCTTGTTGGTACGTCCTCAGACTCTTCACATAGTTGGTGCAGCTACTCCTCATGATGGTATGACATGTTTTTACCGTAAGATTGTTGGCTAGTGTTTCTTGTGATGCGACGTCTTGAGTTTAGACCCAGTGATTCTGAGGCTGCCTCCAAAAACCCGCTCTGAAAAATCATAGCCATTCATATATCCTAATGTTGGGGGGTAGCATTTATGACTGGAAGATTCCACTGGAAGATACTGGAAGTAGCAACATTTCAGGGACCTCTCTGGCCAAGAAACCTGTAAGACTGGGGCCCGGCGCCTTGGGCTTCTGCGGGTTGCTCCATGCCGCCGCTGCATCGGCAGCCTCGGGGCAACCAGAATGGAGCCCGAAAGCCCATGATTTTCCCGTGGGGACTAAGAAAACTTGGTCTGAAACAACTCTATCCAAAAGCAAAAAAAGGACAACCACTAATCACTAATCATAGCATTTCTGAATTTTAAACAACGAAAACGGGGATGTGAACAATAATGATGCGAATCTCCCCCAACAGTTCAACAAGAATGATCAGGGTAGAACTGTAGAACCAATAGCAACAGCCAGGGAAAGTAATGATTTCCAACTGGCCATGCCGGGGTTGGGGTCCCAGGTATCAGGCCATTGACCATGGTAAGCATGGTTCGCACGGCTTGAGGTCCTGTTTGGAAACCCCCTGGTCTGTGTATAAAAAAATCTATGCAAGAGACTGAACATGCCAAAAAAAGTCAGTAGATTCAAAAATCCGACTGGTTGAATACAATTCAACCATCTAAAACTCCCGGTGAATCGGTTATCTGAGGAATCCCACTCTCCGACAACCCAGGGGCCCCCAGCGTCAATCTCCTCCAAGTCGGGTAGGGGTGGACCTGGAGCCGAAAATGCTAAGATAGGAAACACTTCAAACTCAAGGGGGCACCCAAAAAGCATGCTTTGTATCTGGATCTATTGCAATAATTCGCCCCGCGAAAATATGAACATGTTTTTGGGATAGTCAGCCTACTACATCATAGTTTACTAGATGTATGATCATTGATAATTCTCATTTTCCGATTTGTTTTTTTCTGAAAATATTATCCAAAAATCCAGGGGTCAATCGATCCAATCGTATTGCTATTTTGGGGCTATCCCGGTACAGACACACCCCAAAATCGTATCAAGTTGGCTACAGTATATGGTTGTATCCTGATCTTTGATGCTTCAATGTGCCCCATGCCTATGCTTATTCCCCATTTGTGAAAGGAAGAAATGGAGAATTAACATGAGTTATAACCATAAACAACGTGCAAGAATTGTTCCCATTTATGGTTATAATAATATGTTATGTGGCTCTTTCAAAATACAGGCTTTCGAGTAGCTGGGCCCCACTGCGCACACCAGAGGTCTTCAGCACAGGAAACCGCTCCAACGTTGGTGCGAGATTCCTGGCTGGAACCAGAAATATCGGATCCTTTGGCAACACATTTTGTTGGATAATGTGTTGGATATCCAATTTCAATTTTGCAACTTTAGGCTTTATCGATTTTTGACTACTCTTGTGCTTGGGGGATTCGGTCTTGGGATGTTAAAGTATGATAAAAATAAAAACCTGCCTGACATTCATGTGGCACTGCCGATGTTGAAAAGGGGTGATGGACCACATGCTCCAGCTAGCGGACTTTCCGTGTTCCGAGTCTGGAGAAATGCAATATCAACTGGAGATTTATTCATTGAACAGTGAGCAATATCCTGTTGTAAGTAGGAATGTGCAGTCACGAAACACAGGTGAGTGAATGGACAATGCACGAGAGATTTTTTTTTAGTGCGGGAGTATCAATCCAGCAATTTAAATCCAAATAGAGTTGTCTCAAAATGTGGACCTTCATTCTTTTCTATGGCTTATCATCATGTTCATTTTCACTATGAAGTTGGCCAGAAGATGGGACATTTCAAGACGGTCAAGACGCAAATTTTACCCACCATCAAGGTATAAATAAACATAATTCAGGTATAGACAAGTAAACCTAGCTATTACAGATAAATACCCACCATCAAGTTGTAAAGACAGATATACAGTAGATCAGATAAAACTAATAGTAGATACATCATGATACATCAACCAACCATGCTTTCCAGTGTTTTTCCTGCCCACCTGCGACGCGCCACGTCAGCACAGTTCGAGCGCGAGGTGAGTTCCATCCCGGGGAAGCCGAACTGAGAGGACCTGGGCGAGGCAACTACTAAAAACCATAGGAAAAGCCTATATTTGGAGGTAAAATAACTATAAATAACTACTAAAAAATATGGTTTCCCGTAAATGTTCCCTTAAAACAAGCCTTTTGGGTCAGGGGGAGGCTTAGGAAATGGACATGGAAAGTTGTTTCACCTCAAGAAATTGAAGAGCACGGCCCGAAAGGGACGGGGGTCATGGGGGTCATGCTCCCAACTGCCTGCGGAGGTGTGCGGAGGTGTGCACTGGTGAAAGCATGGGATTGATGGGGTGTGCTCATCCCACTATCATGAATGAGATTCCAAGATATTCCAAGAACAATCGCTTCGTTCATCCCTATGAATAGTGGATAAAACTGTGGTATTTGTGCCATCCCCCAAGATGGGCAAAAAAAAAACAACCGACTTCAGCATGGCATATCATATACGAACATACCAGGTATGTTTGACAAAAAGTTTGCCAAGCACCACAACTTTATCATAGCCAATCCCACTCCACGGGACGTTCAACAGGGCCCGGACGCTGCTGGCAAACCCCTTTTCCGCTGCTTGTGCAGCTTGAAGCCATAGCCGCGCCTAAAAAGAAGTTGTGGCAGGTTTTTGGCATACAGCTTGAATGGATGTGGACTTGTCTGACAGAGGGAATTATCTCAAAATTAAATTGTTCAAGAGTAGCATGATGATAGAACCACTTGATTTTGGGGTACCCTATGGATGTGTAAGTCAAGGCCGTCAAGGCCTTTGGGAACATTGGGAACCACAAATGTTGGTGACTTCAGCATTACACCATCATTAAACCATCCAAGGTCGGCTGCTTGACCGCCTGCGCAGTCTTCCAAACGACTCACCTTTCAACAGGTCGGCCGCAACATGGACCTTGATGTTGGCCCAGCATGGCCCAGCATGGCCCAGCCACTGCGCCAAATGCAGGGGTATAGTATAGTATGGTATTCCAAAAGTTGATCCACTATATATTGAGGTATTCAAGAACTCAGTATAGTATAGTATGGTATTCAAGAACTCAGAATATTGAGGTATAGTATAGTATTCTGAGGTATTCGAGAACTCAGAATATCTCAGACTCACCCTGCAGGTGGTTGGTTTTTTCATTTTGACCCATAGCCAACGTGGCACCAACGCCAAAGAAACTTGCAGCAACTGGCAAACGTTCCACCCCTCTAAGCTCAGGACAGTGTACCTGCCGACCCCACACGTTTCATAACGTATCTGCGGTGTTTCTTGGTCAATGTCCCCCCATCTTATGATATCAAAATCCAACTTTTTCTGGTTTTAGAAAAGTGATGTTTGGGAGTTGGTGTCAAAACCCCGTCTTTCATCCAACCGTTTGAAGCTTTGAAACGTGCCAGTGGGCACTGCCGATGTTGGTGTCGACCTCGCCGCAAAGTCGGTCCTTCCCTGTGGGAAACGCTCCACGGGCTCCATGCTGAGTGCAGGGCAGAAGCTGTGCTCCACCACAAGGGGCCGAGACCACTCGCTCACCTGCCAGAAACTTGGACAGATTGGACAGTGAATTGTCAATGACATTGTTCATACAAAGTGGGGCCCCCTAGATAGCTAAGTTGGTTTATAACTCCAATAACTATGGTTTATGATACTTATAACTATAGTTACTGGGGTTTATAAACCAATTTATAACTGGGGGGGCCCCACATTGTATGTATATGGAACCATTCAGCCTGGAGCCATTCAGAGGTATTGATCCAGCCCAAGATCTGGTAACTGGAAAGGCATATTCCATACAGTAACAATCCATATGGAACATGATTGAACCATACTGTACATTGTGTATAGCTTGTATACCCTGCGGTAATCAAAGATAGCAATGGGAAATCCTCCCAACATCAAGATTTTCATGGTAAAGTTATCAATGATTACAGGAGGGTACATAGTTTTCCACCAATGCTTTCCACTGGTGATATCGCTCATCAAAAAATCAACCAACTTCGCTATCCATCTGCAGTCTCCAACTCAGTAGCATACCCGGCCGCTTTCGGCGCCTGCGTGGGCGCTGTGGCTGCCCTGGTCCCTGTACTCCTTTGTGATGGACTTGATGCTGGAACGGGCTGACCTGGCATGGAAGCTGGGTGAGCCCCAGCAGCCCGTTTCAAAGCTCGTCTATTTGGGTGATTTTGATTTTCAGGAACTGGCAGTTCGTCCTTCTGATACATCCAAGTTTCTAGAGTCCTTTCAATAATAATAATAATAACTTGTATATACTTGTATAATTTTGTATACATATAAAATGTACAAACTATATAAGAACTATCAAGAACTACTGTTTACAAGTTTAGAAATGGACCAATCCCCAGTTATGGGTCATTGACATTTTATCAACCACTTACTTATGGGATCTTATGGGTTTGCCTGAAATCTGAAAGTAGTAGACTAACATAGACTAACCACGACTAACCCCCCAAATGATTGGCACGCTTCAACGCCAGGCGCCTCCTTTGGTGCTGGGACTTGGGACCAGCGGCTCATCCAAGACGCTGGAAAGCACCTGCTTTTCCGATGCGGACCGATGCGACGGATGCGACGGATGCGTGAAGGATTTGTTCAGAGCTGTGATCCAATCCCCCATATGAGCCATGGTCAATACTCACTATATTTTTGATGGTCATCCCATCTAAAATAAGGATCCTTATAATGGTTATTATAAATCCCTATGAACCATTGGATGACTAGCCCCTATTAATGGTTATTAACCATGAGTATTGACCATAGCTCATATCAAATGCCCCCAACAGTTGGACCCCAACATTTGACCTCCAGAGAGGCCACCCTTGTTACAGATCTGTCTCAGGCTGGCATGGAGGACCCCAAAATCCATCATTCCGCTTGCTTTGGTCATATTTTTTTGATGGGGAAACCGGGAAACCAATGGTTCTGGGGTGCCCCAGATTTCTAGAAACACCACAATATCACAGTCTAAGTGTTAGTTGAACGACCCATACTGATCGGCTTCATTGTCCTTCATCATCCTTGATTTTCCGGATAAACAATCATCAAAATACTCCCAGAATAAGGAAACCTTACAGGGTTGACCCCCGCAGTTTCATGGTACAAACCATGGGGTATTCCACTGCCGGCCTCAGACCACAGCAAGTCTTCCCGCAAAGCTTCCAACGAGCCTGGATCAATGAGCTGTGGCAAGGATCAATGAGGAATAAGATGAAGAAGCAGGATTTACATGGATTTACTGTAACGGATATGACCCAAGAACTTGGTTGGCAACCAATTTTAGGATGAAATCCGCTGGATTTCCGAACAAGCCCATCTGCATCTGATTGATTTAAGCACTTTTCAGCTGCTGGTTTTGAGGCATTGAACATCATTGAACATCATTGAACATCATTAAAATTCATTAAACAGCATTAATCATTATTAATCATTATTAAACATCATTAAACATCATTGAAGTATGTGGATGCCCCAGATGCCCCAGCATTTTGGGGACCTATCTGGTCATCATTTCTGATGGCAAAACGCTGGCACAACTCCGATCCCCAGGGCGCCTGTGGGTGACATGCCACGCCTTTGCAAAGGCGGCTCTTCTCTGGTTGAACTTTTCAATGAGAAGATATTGTGGACATATGGCAGTGTGTCAAAACCTTGGTACCCCTGGTGAACATCAAAATAGCTGGTAAATGGATGTTCATCCCCCTAAAAATGGTATGTATAGGTATTGATCCATAGCCATATTATGATATGATGGACAATGGTCAAATCGTGATACATGAGGGACATCCTACAGAAAACCTGGTTTTACCATGTTTTACCATGGGTTTTACCAAAAACCATCAACCACAAGTCTAGGAAGAGGGCCTTGAAACTGTGCTAGCTCGGAAGTGTTGGATCCTGGGGCCTGGCCCTTTCCGCACGAGGACATCGCAACACACAAGCCATTTTAGAGGGACCAGGGTTTTTTAACAAATAATGATGTGTAGGCCGCGTGAGGTTTTCCCCATTCCACAGATCTGCCTTGTGACTTTGTGACTCAAGTCATTGGTTTCAACATGTTTCACAACCCAAAAACTGGCAAACATTGGCAAAACAATAAACATGTTTAAACAACAACAAACAGTAAAGAAGCTCTGTTGTTTCTCCATTGCCGCAATGTCTCCATATGTCTCCCATGGCCAGTGCACCAAGGCACCCCTCTCGCTTTTCGGTGCATGGGAGGATCCAAGCCCCGGCTCATGGGATGTGCTGATTGGTTTTTTTGAGGTTTTAACATATTGGACCATATTGGACCCAAAAAAAAGACACAGTGAAATATCTATAAAAATATTCTAAAAATATTCTAAAATCAGGGAGTTCTAAGAGTTCTAAGATATGTCAAGATGCTCATATTTTTCTAGCCTTCTTTGTCTTTCTGCCGATGTGAACGTGAAAGCAATCTGAATATGAGAACTTCATGTCCAAGACTTGCCATCCTTGGACCTGCATTGATGAAACCATGACGATTCACAGCTATATGGCAGTTGCAACATGTCAATTTAATAAAACTTAATCGTCTCAAAACACCCTGTTTTTAGGAGGTTTGCCTGGCACATCCACGGTTGAACTTCAAATTGTCCTTTTTCCCAAAAGGTCAAAGCCCAAAAGTTCACAAATTCTCTTCACTTCAGACTTCAGGCCGTTTTCCAGTGACATCTTCTTGTCTCAGCCACAGGATTTCATCGCAACGTATCGCAGCGCATCCCTTTGCGCCAGCACCAGACTTTCGGCCTGGCCAGGGTTGCTCCAAACACCCCAGGTATCCCCAGGTAATTTACCCGCCTTGTGGCTATTGGCGATCATTTACCCATAGCAACCCTGGAATTGGTTGGAACTCAGGGGCGCTTTTGACAGGAAATCCCTGTCGAATTGATCAGATGAGTGATGGCAAATGCACGCAAAACATTCGTGTTCCTGGATTTCATCCCTTGCATGAACGATCATGAACGTATTGGCTGGCAATGTTTCGTCATCAAGTTTCTTTCCCATGCCATGAGGCACCCCAAAGATTCAGAATGCCAAGGACCAGGTAGGGATATTCTCCCTTGGACACACAAATCTGAAATGTCATCATTCCCAGCCCAAGCAGTGTAATCATCAGTAGCAGGTAGCCAACCAAACCCCCCTGCGACACTTGACACCTCTTCGTTGGTTATCTCTTGCACATCCGCACAATGCCGTGCAGACCGCAGGAAGAAGCAACAGCTCAGAATCCTCACCACCGCCTCCCTCTCCGTGTCCGTCGTCAGCGCCCAATGGAGCAGCTGCACCCACGTCGCCGCATCCATCGTCGTTGTTGGGGAGGCCAAAGCTGCAGGGAGATCCAGCGCAGCTGGGGCGTGCGCCAAGATGCACTGCTGATGCTCCTTGAAACAAAGCTCCGCGAGGTTTACAAAGATCGCAGGATCCACCTGGCAGATTTCAAGATATTTTGAAGCCCGAGGAACACTGGGTGCTCACATGATCTCACATGAGTCAAGTCTGTCCATTCAAGCCCCGCTGCACCTTGACCTCCGGAATAGTCATCGGTTTGTCACTGTGCCACGGGATTCGTGGTAAATGGCGCAAGTCCATGTGGAAAGTCTCACAGTCCAACTGGCTTAAGAGAATTCCAACCACCTCCAGGGCAGGAAATGCTTAAATTTTAAAGGACGTAACCAACAGATTTAATAGTGATTATATTATTCATCCCTTTTTCAATATCCCAATTTCAACCACCGCCCAACTTCAAAAAACCTTTCGGGCACAAATAGTTGATTTTGGGGGACATGACATTGACATTGACATAACATTTGGCCAGTGGATCACTTCTGGTAACTGGTAAAATGTTCTGCAAATTTACCAAAAAAAACTGAAACAAAATTGGTATTAAATCACCCTGACCTCGGGGAGCATGTTCTTGATTTTTGGCAAGTTTGGGCTGTGGATTTTGGGTGGCAGCTCCACTTCAACCATCGAATATCCGCGCTTGAGCACCGTCGTTGTCATGAAGATATCAATGCCGTATTTCTTCACCTTGTGGCAAGGCAAAAAGATGGAAAAACTGATGGAAATTTCATCCAGAAACTACTGATAACACTGATCATTCCCAAAAAACACTATATCTAATTATAATTATATATAAACTATATAATAGTTTCAAATAAACACATGAGAAAACTTGTTTCAGAAACATGTATGGTTTGCATCCTCCACTTTGTCCATCAAATGTGGTGTCATTTTCTGCTTGAGTGGCAGGTTTCCTGAGCCCAAACACCTTCGCAGGCCATGTTTGTGCCAGAAACGCCTCTGCTGCCCTACGGCTGAAACCAAAGTCGCCCCCAATGGCTTGACGAATGTCGTAGCCAAAAACGGCACAGATGCTCGGGTACACCACCATGTTGGTGATAAAACCATCCTTAGATGGCCATGTTCGGGTTACCTTAGAATTCGACGAATCCCATGAAAATGTGAACGCTTTAACTTGGATTGAATTGGATATGAAACACGTGGATTTTTGGCGGCAAGATTTTTGACTGGAAAGTAATTTCCTAAATCTCAGTAGTAACATGTAGTAACTGTATATATCATATTGTATGATATTGTATGTTTGTATAATCGCCATCCAGCATCACACCGATGTCGTAGATAGCGTGGTACTGCAAAGTCATATTGCAAGGCAAGGCTGAAGGCCCGAATCCACTCAGGCGTCATGGTCTTGAGGTCCGTGTCAAGGCATATGCCATGCGCAGCATTCACCTTGCAGGAATGTGGGACTTACCTCCATGCAATTTCTGGCAGATGCAATGTTTTTTCGAGATTTGTTTGTATTTTTGTATTTTTCTGTTTTTCAGTCTGGGGCAGTCTTCCTTGCTATTTGTTGCAGGTCGGAGCTAAAATTTGTCATGTGCTGCATTTTGAAGCTGAAATCTCTCATTTGCACGGTTTTTGCAGCATTTTGGAACTAAAACAATTAATTTGGATTAATTTGGACAGTCAGCATGTTTAAGCATTTTGGAATTAAAAATTTAGGGTTGGTTTATGGTTTGTTTAGGTTTGGTTAGGGTCTGTTTAGGGATGGTTTAGGGTTTATTTAGGGATTGTTTAGGTACAGTATGTTTAGGTTTCATTTAGGGATGGTTTAGGCTTTATTTACATCAAGGTTGTGGTTTGGGTTTTATCTACGGTGGTTTTAGGATGTTTTAGGGTTTACTTGTGGTTAGTTTAATGTTTAATTATTTAGGGTTTCTCAAGGTTTATTTTATGGTTGCTTTACGGTTTATCTAGAGTTTGTTCAGGGTTTGCTTGGAGTTTCTGGGCTTTCGGTAGGTTTCATGGATTCAGTGTGACGGTGTTGGGCCACTGTTCTTGAAACCACCAACCAGCCCAGGACTCCATCTGTCTCTCAGAAACGGACCAACCCATTAAAAAAGGGTCATGAGTGGACATTGTACCCAAGATTGTGCGCAAGATTTCATGTTTTTTTGGAGTTCTACCATGTTCTACCCCCGTTCTGGTTGCTTAGACTCCCCCTTTTGGTGAATGAACTCCGTTTGCAATGGAATCCTCACTTTTTAGGCGGTCAAACTCCATTTCCAGCCCCTGTTTTTGTTCCTAGGTCCAAAAAACAATTGCCAAACACTGGTTCGTCTTGAACAGTCTTAAACCGGGCGGAATCTATCCCAAAATGGCCACTGTATTAGTCAATAATTATGATGAACCGGGATGGAATGGGCTTCCAATTTTTGAGAAAGCCCCGCCGCCACCTCCACCATACAGGAAAAGACCAACTTCAGCGCAGCACCCTTGCCCTCTGCAGGGAGGGCGGTTCTTAGGGACACCTGGGGCTATCGAACGGAACTGCCCAAAAAACGTGTGGAAATGTAGGCAGTGGGGGGGTTCTCATAAAGGCTGATAATTTGGAGGTTCTTAAAATATGGGATACTAAAACGTATCCAAGTAACTGTGGTAGTGTTTATATATATATATTTATCTATATAATAGGGCTTTACTAGGAGAACCAATGGCGACTTCAACTAATTACAACTTTTGAGGAGAAAAACAGATGTGCTTATTGGATCTTATTGGTCTATACGTGGCCAATGCAATGAATCACTGTAGTGGGTCCTTTGGTGCCTGTTAAATTAAAGGGAAAATTGATATCCCCCAGCTGGTGACAACCTGCTGCGAGGGGGAGTACAGTAAATTAATGTAAATTACATACACTTAACCACGATCAACATCCATCAACTAGATGTTTTAGCCATTGCTCGCCTTTTCACAACGGGTTTGCGTCTGTGCAAAGATGGCTGCTGTGCCGTCCGAGCTTTGACAATCTGCATTCACCAACAAACAGCGGTGCTGAGGGAAGTAGCGTTGACATCCTTCGTCCACCACTTTGGTCAGTGCCTCAATATTTTCAGCTTCATTCAAGCTGGGTAGTCCGATCACAAGCACTGGGCGAGCTGCTGGGGTTACATGGCGAACACCGGCTTCAAAGACACCTAAGAACAAGATGCAGCAGGTCAGTTGACAGGCGGCAAAGAGATTTTGTCCTTCGGAAGGGTCATCGCCGGCAGACAGGTTGAGCCTTGATAACCACGGAGCAATGGTTCGAGCCACATTGTTGAGAACAATTGCTAGGAAGGATGACAGGTTCACCGAGAATATGGCATTCTCCTTCGCGAACTGCATCATCAAGCCCCTGGTCAGTCCCTCTCCCAAGTACAGAGCGGGGAACATCACCGCATCCGCCAGTACCAGTATGACTCCTCCAGATACTATGTGCGTCACCCGTGAAAATACCAGCGTTGTGCCACCAATCGCCACCAAAGACAAGATTCGGATCCAGGCAACGACGCTGAAGCTGTCCCGAATGCTGAGATACGTCGAGCGCAAGGGGATGCTGGCCAGGAACGTTCCGCTCACCTGAAGGTTAAGGTGGTTTCTTAAGATGCCCTAAGGATGCCAACATACCAGGCGTTGATCTGAAATGTTCGTCTAATTCTTGGGCCTACCAGGATATTAAGCGGTGTGAAAAATCATCACTTTGCGCAAAAAACACCTGGAAATGCCCATCTGTTTGCCAACCAAAAAATCGATTTTGGAGCGCTCATATAGCATAATAATCACACGATTTGCAATAGCAAAATATGGCAAAATGATGAAAAATGCCATGCCAAAATCTAACATGATCTAACATCCATCCTTCTGCCAAAATCTATCAAAATTCAAGACTCATGGCCACAAACATCACAAAAAAAAGCCAGCTAACGTGGGAAGACCACCCAAACATCCGATTCATGGTTTTTCGTCACCAAAATCTGCTACTTATATCATCTTCTATCTACTTGCAATGTCAATACCGGATGAAAAGGAATGAATATTATATACTATAATCTACCGAGAGTTACCCCAAAAATACTTGTCTCAATAGCAATGAACATTGGTACCTCCACCGCCCATAACTGAATATAACTTAAGGATACAGCATCTGAAAGCTGGGTGTTTCGCCAATAGCTTAGCATCAATTACAACGACCATCACCATGTAGACGCTGATGATCACTATCCCAACAGGTGGATTTGTGGATTTCCCATGTTCATCTAGCGAATGACGATAGAGTATGATGATTATGATGTAGCACTAAGTTTTACCTGTACCACCAGAACTATACAGTCTATCCATGTCTATCCCAATCAAGGAAACTACCATTGTTGGTGAAATCCGCCTGCTTTTCCATGTTTTTTTCGTGACCCAGTCACCAAAAAGCCAATCGAATGTCGGTTCCAACCGTAAGGTGTTTCAAGCAGAAGTGAGGTGCCAACTTCAGCACCTGCCACCGCATAGCCACGAAGTGCACAGAGCAGGAAGCAACTGCACAGAAACAACCTGGGCCAAAAAGGAAAAGGCCATGAACAATTGATCTTCAACCCATGAACGGTAGAGTTTGAACCGTATTCTTTGACATGCTCAACCCATAAAAAGTAGCGGTCTTAACCCATGAAAATTGGTTTTCAACCCATCAGTGGTTTCAAACCCAATACGGTATATTTGGCAAAGTTGAACATGCTGCAGGGTTGACCCCAGCATAGAATCACAAGAGGGATGGTTTCCCGATGCTACGAGGGTCAACGAGACATGTTCCACGTTCAGATTTTGGAGCTACAGTACGAGCACCGTGCTTAAGTCACATCAGGCGGGAAAAGTCACATCATCCCCATGGCACGGCGGCGATACAGAAAGTCACATCAGGTAGTGGAAAGTCACATCAGGGAAGAAGAATCACCATGGCACAGCCTGTTTCATCTACAATTGGAGATTTAGTTAAAAGTAGCCGAAGCATTGCGCACAGTGATGATTTTGAAGGGCACAAGTTTTTGACAAACAAATTCTCGGCAGCTAATCCTACTGGAGTTGAATATATAATATTGATGTCCTGCGTCGCGTGACCAAATCAAACCCCTATTGGTACAGCCTCAAATTTCTTGCAATCAAATATATATATAAGTTTTATAAATCAACGCAATACAAAAATTAAACTTTTTCCAGTCGCACGGCCCCAAAACAATGAAATCGTTCAATTACTAAAAATTGTGGTGATTCCAAACTTGAACTTTTTCCAGGCGCACGGCCTCCCGATACGACTTTTAGAAGCTGATACGACTTAACCCGAGCGCTTGTACGGCTGTACACTCGAAAATCGGTACGGTGCACTGGCAAGCAGCACTTGTACTCTAGCGGGCTGCTTTTCAGGGTTCAATGTCACGCCCGACACCTGACCGCTGGAATTGGAAGACTGCCAAGCTTGGATAGAAGCAGGGCAATGCTGGAACACCGTCAGCAACACCAAGATCTGAAAGGTGGCAAGGGTCGCAGGGGCTGCACACAATTTGGCTGGTCCTACAGATGGAGCAAAGGGAAGGCCATCTGCAAAGATTGCAAGACCAACGATCAAAGGCCCCATGCCTGGCTCCAAGAAGGAAGAATCGAATGTTGACCATTCCATTCCCCTTGACATGTGATGAAGGCCCCTTTCACATCTCTAGTCGATACTTAAGCAACTACTGAGACGAATCATGGCGAATCGATAGTTTGCCACTACAATCGACATTAATCAACTATGTATATATCTGGTTGGTGGTTTGAACCATCTTGAAAAAGATTAGTCAATGGGAAGGATTATCCCATATATTATGGAAAATAAAAAAATGTTCCAAACCACCAACCATATATGTATAATATAATATATATATATATCATTCATCTATATACATCTATATACCATGATCATCTATGATCCATCAAAAACATGGACCCCGTGGCCTAGACCCAAAGTTTGCCAAAACTGCAAGCACTGCATCCGCTCGGGCAGTTCACCCGGAGGTGTCATCTTGGTGATGGCCACTCCTGCGAGTTGCCCCGTGACACCACTTCCAAGCCCCCAGAGAAATCGCACCAGCGCAATGGCCGAGATTCCAGCCATCCCAGGGGTCCCAGGTGCTCCAGGTGCTCCAGGTGCTCCAGGTGCTCCAGGTGCTCCAGGTGCTCCATGCACAGCCCAGTGAATCAACATGGTGTAGAGCAGAGCTCCTATGAGATCCATACTTTGACATGTCAACAAAATGCCACGAAGCTCCTTCCAAGCCTCTGGCATCACATGCAAAACCAGCGTCATTGCAGAAGTTCCCACTGCACCACCTGTCATGAACAGCCCGACCAGAAGTCCAGAAAAGGCAGGCGAAACCCCCAAGAGTCGACCTACTTGGTATGAGTCCACGATGATCCCCGCAAAGGCCATTTGTTGCATGAACTGTACCAGGAAGAGGCACTGCCGAGCTCGTTCAGCCGTTCCCTCGCTCCACACCGGCTCGCTTTTCGTGGAACCTGTCTCCAAGCTATCGGAAGTCTGGCAAGCTTTGTATTCGGTACTGGGGGTGCCGGTCAGCAGCTTTTGGGTTTGTCCATCTGACGACCACTGCATGGATGATGAAGTTCTTCGAAAATAAATGAAACGGTAGTATAGATTAAGATGTGTGAGTAGCCAATCAAGGCTCTTCAACACACATGAATTTGAACCGACAGGTGGACGGAAATGGTTTGTGCCGAAGTCAAGTAAACAAGAAATTGCACGGGAAAACAATGTATACATTCAGAAATCACTGTTTATATTATTTTTTGTGTCCTCCGCTTGTCCTTCAGACTTGTCGTTGAAATCATTGAAACCTTCCTCATCAGGCCCTGCCTTTTTAAGCGCATGTCTGTGCAGCGCTGATCTCCGAATCATTCCGAATCGAATTAGTCAAGGGATCATCGGATCATTTTCTCCCTTTTCGGAACGGAGCCATTTAAACCATGCGGTCTGACAGGTAGCCAAACTGGAAACGGAACTTGAGACCTCGAGACCCCTTTCAATTCGACTTCTTCACCTCTTCCATGACCAATTCCGTTTCCAGGTCCGTTGACCAGTACTTTGCACACTGCAAACTGTACAAACGGCGGCACTCATGGCCACCAGCTCAAGGCCAGTTTCACCCTCTGCTTTCTGCATTGTTTACAGGAGAAGCAGCAGCATGGGACAAATGGGACAGCCCAAAAAGTTGGGCCATGCAGGGTCAAAAGGCTCGCTTTTGATCTTCACATATCTTCACAGAGGCTTTAAAACGCTATCGCTCCAGAGTTGTTCCCTTCAAATGCCTAGTTCTTCGCATTTCTCAGGGCTTTTCACCTGCTACATCTGTACTTCAGGGATTATCCGCTCTATGCCAAGCTCACTGCTCGCAATTTTTTTAGGGACTTTCTTTGGAACTCCGCAGGGGGAGAAGTAAGGTTCCGGCCTCGGTTTCGCCACCATCCCAGGAATTCCAACTGCAAACCCTTTGTCCATGAGGAAGATACAGTACCCCCAAGGCCAATTTCATTGCGGAAAATGATGAAAAACCATGATATTTTGGACTACCTGTTTTAGACAGATGGACTACCTATAATAGGTTTATCCAAGGTTGTAATGAATATACTATAAATAGCTGGGTAAGACCCTGTAGTTAAGGACCAATTGCTATATGTTTGGGATGTGATGATTCTCCGAATGTTGAGTAGCACAAGAGCACAGATTTCGCACGCATTTCACCAAGCGACCTGATGTGTGTGAGCTGCATCTTCCCCCTCCTGCTGCCAGGAATTGGGGGTGCGGTTCCCTGATGGTAACCCTGAAAGTAACCTGCCGAGGTCCTATAAAAATACAGATGTGCATCGATACAGGCATCAATGACTCCCAGAGGTTTTTTGCATCTCTCCATGTCCCATTCGAGATATATTAGGGCTTTTGCCAAGATGGGGGATACTCCAAAACGACCCACATCCACAGTTCGCAGAAAAATTGGCCCCAATGTGGTACATCATCATCTTCCCTACAATTTCCATTTGGGACTAGTACCCTCTGGTAAACTAACATAGCTATTGAAAATGGCCATAGAAATAGTGTGTTTTCCCATTAAAAATGGTGATTTTCCATAGTTATGTTAGTTTACCAGAGGGTAAATCCATGTAAATCCACCATGTTCATCCACAAAACTCTGCTGCTCACATCTGCTCACATCAGGCGCTCCTCTGCAACAACAAACTCACGGTGACCGAAGCCGTCGTAGCCAAGCCAGCCAGGGACAGCAAACATCCAGGTGCCCAGGTGTTGTGTTCAATGGCTGCCTGCAAGGCTCAGGCAATCTAACGCAAAAACAAGATGTGGAAACTGAAGGGAGAGATATATTTACCACCAAACACTCGCTTCAGCCACAAACAAATGAGACTTAACCACCAAAATACGGATCTAACTACAAGAAGTTTCGATCTAACCACCAAAAAATGGATTCAGCAAAATATGTGGATTTAACATGATTCAACTATTTAACCAACACAAAATTGGATTTAACCAGCAAAAATTGGATGAGTCCACCACCGAAAAATTGGATGGTCGAGGCATCCCCGGGTTTTTACGGCAACTCCAATAGGGAAACTGGCTTCGCCCACGTGGTGTTTCCAGACATGACAACACATGCTATATTTTGTATGAAGAAGATAATACATATGTTGTATATATATATACATATATAGTATATAGCCAGATATAGACATACAGACAATATGTAAATACAATCATATATTATATTACGGGACACTATTTTAGAAGATATTCAATATTTTTTACAAATAGAAGCAGGCCCAAGTCCATATGTAGCCGAGTCCGTTTCAAATAGAAGCAGGGCTCTCCGATCATTCCGGCAATTGCTTCTAAAATTGCGTCCCGGAATATAATATATATAATATATATAATATATATAATATATAACGGCGAGAGAAGAGAGAGAAGGAGGAGGAGTAAGAGGAGCGAAGAAGGAAGAGACAGAGAGAGACAGAGAGAGAAAGAGAGAGACAGAGAGAGAGAGACAGAGAGAAACAGAGAGAGACAGAGAGAGAGAGAGAGAGAGAGAGAGAGAGAGAGAGAGAGAGAGAGAGAGAGAGAGAGAGAGAGAGAGAGAGAGAGAAGAGAGAGAAGAGAGAGAGAGAGAGAGAGAGAGAGAGAGAAGAGAGAGAAGAGAGAGAAAGAGAGAGAGAAGAGAGAGAAGAGAGAGAAGAGAGAGAAAGAGAGAGAGAGAGACGAGAGAGAAGAGAGAGAAGAGAGAGAAGAGAGAGAAGAGAGAGAAGAGAGAGAAGAGAGGGAGAGGGAGAGGAGAGGAGAGGAGAGGAGAGGAGAGGAGAGGAGAGGAGAGAGAGAGAGAGAGGAGAGAGAGAGAGAGAGAGAGAGAGGAGAGAGAGAGAGAGAGAGGAGGAGAGAGAGAGAGAGAGAGATGAGCAGAGAGGGAGAGAGAGAGAGAGAGAGAGGAGCAGGGAGAGAGGAGCAGGGAGAGAGGAGCAGGGAGAGAGAGGAGAGAGAGAGAGAGAGGAGCAGGGAGAGAGAGGAGCAGGGAGAGAGAGGAGAGAGGGGAGAGAGAGGAGAGAGGGGAGAGAGAGAGAGAGAGGAGCAGGGAGAGAGAGGAGAGAGAGGAGAGAGAGGAGAGAGAGAGAGAGAGGAGGAGGAGAGAGAGGAGGAGGAGGAGAGAGAGGAGGAGAGAGAGAGGAGGAGAGAGAGAGGAGGAGAGAGAGAGGAGCGGAGAGAGAGGGGAGCAGAGAGGGGGGGGAGCAGAGAGAGAATGAGGAGAGGAGGCGAGAGAGGAGGAGAGGAGAGAGGAAAGAGATGAAGAGAGAGGAGGGAAGGAGGGAGGGAGATGAGGAGAGAGAGGAGAGAGAGGAGGGGAGAGAGAGGAGAGAGGAGAGGAGAGGGAGAGAGTATATATATTATAATTTATATATATAGAGGATATGAGATAGCCATGATATAATTAGATATATTATATATATTATATATATATATATATTATATATATTATATATATTATATATATTATATATATTATATATATTATATATATTATATATATTTTATATTATATATATTATATATTATATATATATTATATATTATATATATATTATATTAATAGATGATGGGGTTTTTGAATGATTACTTTTGGTCCCCAATTCTTCGGACCCATCACTGGGTGGCCACGACCTCAAAAATCATGGGCGCAAAGCCTCCGAAGCAGCACAAGCCGATGTTGTAGCCTCAGTGTTTGGAGTTTGGCCCGGTGGGCATCCACTATTTTTACCTGTTTTTGGCATGTTTTTAGACATGGCTGGAATGTAACATGGGGCAGGTAAATGCAAAGAATATAAAATTCGAAAAATTAAAGGAAATTGATCGTCCAGTTTTGGGCTTCAACCCCCCACAAATACACAAACATGGACGAAGCAAAATGCCTGTTTTATCATGGACTCCATAGACCTCGGCCCCCTCGGCCATTCGCTTTCAAAGTCATTAGAAAAGGTTCAAAGGTACCCTCTGGTAAATTAACATAGCTATTGAAAATGGCCATTTATAGTGGATTTTCCCATTAAAAATGGTGATTTTCCATAGTTAGTTTACCAGAGGGTAGTGCTTCTTGATTTCCAGTTTCAGTATGTCATCATATGTCATCCAGGACCCCAGGACCCCAGGACCCAGGAGGAACAATTTGTGAAAACCATGCAACTCAAACCCACTCCTGCATTGCGAATTTCCACCGGAAACAGCTCACAGACGTAGACGAAGAAAATCATGCCGACGAAGGTGAAGATAAAGCCATAACCTTCAGAATTTTTTGGTTTCTGGATGTGTTGGTGGTGAATTTGTCGTGCTTTCAACTCCGACAAAACAGAAGATCCTCATGACCAGGATGGAAACTAAACACATTATTCTGGGTAAATTATAATATTTCACTAACCTGAATTAAGGCCATTTGGGGATGATTTCCCTTACTAACCATCATTCCCAGTGAGGTCGCAGTGAGGTCGTTATAATTTGCCCAGATTATTGAAACCACTGAAATCGGTATTTTCTTGTCAGTCACACGGCTCTCAGCATCTCTCAGCAACAAAAGCTGTTGCTAAGCACAGCGCGCATGCTTCAAATTGCTTGGGCGCATGATCCCTGGTGGTGTAATCACCTCTACCACAGGGGAGAACATATCGCTATAACTGTATAGCAACTTCAATTAAACAAAAAAACGATAGAAAAGCACAAGCATTCTTTCAACTTGTGCTTACGTGGTGGTTTGGGTTGGTGGTTTGGAAGTCTGGGAATTGATGGTTTTGTAAACTTAGAAAAAACAAAAAATATCAAACCCTGCAAACAATGAAATCGTTGAAAATAAAGAAAACACATTTAAAACAACAATGATTGCTACCAGATTAGGTTTGTTTTTGAATTGATATTCATCTTGTATCTCGGAAAATGTACACTTATTTAATGTCCAATAATTTCACGTGATTGTTTAATTGATTATTGAATTCTAGTGCATTTTTCTGTACTTGTCTATTTATTGTTGAAATGGGGGAAAGACAGTTTCTTGAAACCGTGTGGTCCTATCCTGTACTCTGACTGATGCAGGTTTCATGGATTTTCCATGGAGCTTCCATGCAGGTTTCATGTTGGTTACATGCTGGGTTTGCAAATTTAGCTTACTGGTGGGTAACCTCCATGACAACTCCCTGGAACCTGCATGGAATCTGCATGGAACCTCCATGGAACCTGCATCAGTCAGAGTGCATGATAAAACCAACAAGTGTAGATAGAGGCACCACCTCCATAACGCACATGGAAACTGCATGAAATTCTACATCAATTCTCCATGGAACCTGCATGGAACCTCCATGAAAACTGCATCAGTTAGAAGGCGCCATGCAACCATCACGTTTAGACACAAGAAACAACGGTTACCTACATGAAACCTCCATGAAACCTACATCAATTCTCCATGGAACCTGCGTGGATACTCCATCAAGGAAGACGCCATACAATCATCAGGTGTAGATACAGGGAACATGTTCGAGTTTTTTTAATGGAAACTACATCGAAACCATCAGGCGCTTTGATGCAAATCGATCGCAAATCGATCGTAACTAAATTGATCGCACAAAAACTGTTATAGCATCTGTGCGTTTTGATGTCGTTTTCACTAGGCCATCTGTCTTTGCTGAGGTTTCTGTACTGGAAAAGTCAAATTCTTCCAGAATTTCTATTTATCCTGAGTGTTCGTTGCTTGGCGGTTTTGATGTTGGCAAGGCCAGGGTTTCAAGTGTGGACTTTGTAATGTGTCATTTTGATGTAGGATTTCGACGTTATTTTGCGATCATTTTGCGATCCTTTGTCGATCGATTTGACATCGGCCTAAAAACGAATAAGAAGGCCATAAAACAACATCAATATGACATCGACAAGAACCTAAGGCCTGTAGAAAACGGCACTTGCCAATTCATATATTCATGTGGTTTGGTGATCATAGAATCCAAGATGACATAAGTGAGTTCATTTCTCTTGGTGGTTTCGTCTTTTAATTAACTTAGTTTGCAATATTATATGTTAGGAACCTCCATCAAGTTGACACCGAGACAGACATAAAACTCCATCAAAATGACATCAAACAAAAATTCACATTTGAAACCTTGCCAAAATCGAAACCACCAAGCAGTGAACACTCAGGATAAATAGAAACTCTGGAAGAAATTGACTTTTCCAGTGCAGAAACAAAAAGGGACATCAACAAAGACAAATGACCTAGTGAAAACGACATCAAAATGCACAGATGCTATGACAGTTTTTGTGCGTTTTTTTACGATCAGTTTACGATCGATTTACGATCGATTTGCGATCAATTTGCGTCAAAGCGTCTGATGGTTTCCACGTAGTGTCCACTAAAAAAAAAGTCTCTGTTCCCTGTATCTACACCTGGTGCTTGTATGGCGCTTCTTTGATGGAGTATCCATGCAGGTTCCATGGAGAATTGATGTAGGTTTCATGGAGGTTTCATGTAGGTTCCGTTGTTTCTTGTGTCTAAACGTGATGGTTGCATGGCGCCTTCTAACTGATGCAGTTTTCATGGAGGTTCCATGCAGGTTCCATGGAGAATTGATGTAGAATTTCATGCAGTTTCCATGTGCGTTATGGAGGTGATGCCTCTATCTACACTTGTTGGTTTTATCATGCACTCTGACTGATGCAGGTTCCATGGAGGTTCCATGCAGATTCCATGCAGGTTCCAGGGAGTTGTCATGGAGGTTACACACCAGTAAGCTAAATCAGCAAACCCAGCATGTAACCAACATGAAACCTGCATGGAAACTGCATGGAAACTCCATGGAAACTCCATGAAACCTGCATCAGTCAGAGTACTGTACAGGATAGGACCGCAATGGAATTTGTTTCAAGAGAAACTGTTTTTTTTCTCTGCTTTGCTTTCATGTAGATTATTTAGATAGAATAGATAGGTAAGGTCACTTGGATAGAGTAGGCATATTAGATAGATCAGATAGAAAAGGTAGACTAGGTGGATTAGATAGATTAGATAGATTAATAGACAGACTTGAAAGATTAGAGAGGTTGGATTAGATTAGCTTAGATTAGATTAGATAAGATCAGAGAAGATTAGACTAGTTTGATAGACAAATAGACAAACAAATAAATAGATAGATTATGTAGATATATGAGATTGGTTGATAGATTGATAGATTGATAGATTGATAGATTGGTAGATAGATTGATAGATTGATAGATTGATAGATTGATAGATTGATAGATTGATAGATTGATAGATAGATAGACAGACAAACAAATAGATATATTGGATATGATATATTAGATAAGTAAATAGATAGACAGACAGACAAACAAACAGATAGACAGATACTTAGAAAGATAGATTAGATTAGATTAGATTTAGATAGATTAAGATTAAGATTTAGGTTTAGGATTTAGATTTAGGATTTAGATTTAGGATTTAGATTTAGGGATTTAGAATTAGGATTTAGAATTAGGATTTAGAATTAGGATTTAGAATTAGGATTTAGAATTAGGATTTAGAATTAGGATTTAGAATTAGGATTTAGAATTAGGATTTAGAATTAGGATTTAGAATTAGGATTTAGAATTAGGATTTAGAATTAGGATTTAGAATTAGGATTTAGAATTAGGATTTAGAATTAGGATTTAGAATTAGGATTTAGAATTAGGATTTAGAATTAGGATTTAGAATTAGGATTTAGAATTAGGATTTAGAATTAGGATTTAGAACTAGGATTTAGAATTAGGATTTAGAATTAGGATTTAGCATTAGGATTTAGCATTAGGATTTAGAATTAGGATTTCGAATTAGGATTTAGAATTGGGATTTAGAATTAGGATTTAGAATTAGGATTTAGAATTAGGATTTAGAATTAGGATTTAGAATTAGGATTTAGAATTAGAATTAGGATTTAGAATTAGGATTTAGAATTAGGATTTAGAATTAGGATTTAGGATTAGGATTTAGCATTAGGATTTAGGATTTAGCATTAGGATTTAGAATTAGGATTTAGAATTAGGATTTAGAATTAGGATTTAGCATTAGGATTTAGCATTAGGATTTAGCATTAGGATTTTAGGATTTAGCATTAGGATTTAGAATTAGGATTTAGAATTAGGATTTAGAATTAGGATTTAGAATTAGGATTTAGAATTAGGATTTAGAATTAGGATTTAGCATTAGGATTTAGCATTAGGATTTTAGGATTTAGCATTAGGATTTAGAATTAGGATTTAGAATTAGGATTTAGGATTTAGAATTAGGATTTAGAGATTTAGAATTAGGATTTAGAATTAGGATTTAGAATTAGGATTTAGAATTAGGATTTAGAATTAGGATTTAGAATTAGGATTTAGAATTAGGATTTAGAATTAGGATTTAGAATTAGGATTTAGAATTAGGATTTAGAATTAGGATTAGAATTAGGATTTAGAATTGGGATTTAGAATTAGGATTTAGAATTAGGATTTAGAATTAACCCAGCTTTGCAACCCAACAGCATACCTGAATCTTCCACCTACGTCTTTTTTCAGACCCTGTGCCAAAGTCATGTTTTTTCAGTACCCAGAAAACTTTTCAGGACCTACTCTCAAATTCAGGACCTGGCCATTTTGGGGTATCAATGGTAATGGCAATCATTGGGTGCAAACATGTGAAACCAACATTTGGTGGATATTCAAGCCATTGGCATTGATCCACGCAAATAAAAGCACTCCCAGCCCAAACTCATGGCAAGGCAGGATCAGAATATAGTATATTCCAGAAAGTATGTCAGAATAGATGCCAGATAGGATGCCAGAAAGAATGTCAAATAGAATCTCAGAAAAGAATGTAAGATAGTATGTCAGAACATATATGCCACATATACGTCCAGATGATATGTCAGAAACTATGTCAGAATAGTGTGTCAGGGTGGGGATCACTCTTAGTAAGGCAATTTTGAAAATATATTTCAGGTTCGGAATTTTCAAATTGTTGTCCTTCAGGCGCCGAAGCTCCCGTTGAAGGTCAGCATCGCCCCATGTCAACTGGTCCAGTCCCACTTCCATTTCAACAAGTCCAACTTCATCGATTAGGGTGTTGGTTGAATGGACTTGGGACTCTAGCTGGCACGGCATCCCTTGTAACCCTGTAGACACTGTAGTGGACAAAAAGATTGTAACACACAGAATCAGCATCATTTTGATCAGGCATTCTTTTTGCTAATCCTTTCTCCCTATTACGAAAAATACCCCCAAATGACAAAAACT